CTACTTTGCCAAAGGTGGCTCAAAAATGTCTTCCCTGGTCTGTCTATCCTAACGATATCGCTTCCTCTCTCCCGCCTTTTCAACCCACCTCCTATGCCCCACTACAGCTACCGTCCTTTCCTCTCTATTCAATGCCTCAAACATCTCCCTGTACGNGTCCTATGTCTTCGTCGACGTTCTCGAAGGCCTATGTCCCCGGTCCTGAATTTGACCTTAAGCTTTGTTCCTGCATCCATTGGTCCATGTAGGTAATCCTTGAACCCTATTCCTTCCCTCAACATTCCGTACACTTCTAGACCCTCCTTATCCTTGGATTCCTTCCGATTTTGTTCTCTCTCGGCACAAGCAACAGATATCTCCTCCTTGAACCCCTGTAGACCCTCCGTTTCCAGCGTTTCATCTTCGCCGATGTCGAGCCCCTTCCATACGTCCGGGGGGGGGGAACTTCCTTTCTCATGGGGTTATGGGGTCATGTGCCACACCCTCGAACAGTCTCAGCCTCCTTGCTACCATACCTCGTTCCGTGAGACCCCATCTTCATCCTCATATTTCTTGGACATCACGGTACTAATTATGACACCTTTGGAGAAAGTGTCATGGCGTGTCAGCACATGGGGTGTCAGAGAACGGTTCAACGGGCCAACCCACCTTTACATACCACCTTCCCCCCCGCGCGCGCGAGTCAACATTACCGGTAGGTGCATGTATATATGTAGTACCTTGGAGTAGGTGCCCGAGGCGTGCCAGGCGAGCCTGACCAGGGTGCCCGCGATAGAGCTTCCGTCCCCTCGGGAAGCATCCTCCGCCTCCATCATCGCCTCAAGGTCCTAGGATGACCACATGACCATCATCATAAGATACCACACGCGGTGTGCCGTGAGGGGGAGAGAGAGAAGTACAAATCATGGCCACCGAGGTTCTGGTCGCAAACGGCATGAGAGAATGTATACCGAAGTCCCCTTCCCGGGAAGGCAAGGGGGCGCACGGGAGACAATCCTGGACCGCATGCAAGTAGCTCCAAATTAAGATCGAAAATTTGGAGGTTGGGGGTCACACAGAAGATAAGATTGCCACCCCTACACTAGAGGGGAGGATACAGACCTTTCTCCACGACGGGCCCCCTACAAGTAGACCGCTCTACATAAAACCAATCTGGATTAACAGCAGGAAAACATGGTGAATGGGCGGTGGGGGGTAGCTGTGCGGTCCTGGAGTTTCTCCCGTGTGCCCCCTTTGTGGAAAGGCACTATAATAGGACATCCTTTGCCTCGAGTCCACCCTCTAGCATCGTAGATAGTCGATCCTCCTTCACTGAAGCAAGCAAGGTACACTTTCTCCACAACAAGTACGAAGTCTACTATAGAACACGGGCTCGGGTGTTGCACAAAGCTTGAGAAAGACACACACAAAGCAACTGCCACACCTTCTTGATGGCTGCGTAGTCGACGGGAGGAGCGGCAGCCTGGACTTGGGAGTCTTCCGAGGAGTAAACCACCGCGGCTACGGCAGCGGCGGCAGCGGCGGCGGCTGCGGCGGAGGAGGCAACTTTAGAATCGGCCTGCGGGTGTACGCAAGGACAGCAGAGACAGCAGCAGCAGCACGGCCGAGAGATGGTTCGCAAAAGCAAAAACCGAAAGCACCATTGACGCAGGCAGGGAGCTCTTATAAAAATGGAGGGCAGAGTGCACAATATGGCCGACAAACGTGAGAAACAGCCGCCTCGAAGTTGCGGGCGAAAAAAAAAAAGGTCCGCCCCGAAACAGCTCACAAACACAATCACAAAATTATGCGTAGTAAGGCTAGGGCCATTGCACGTGACATCGATCAACACCGGTTCTGAGACGAGTGCGTTGTGTGGTGGCTGCGCCAAAATGGGGCGATTCGCGCGTTTACGTCCTTCTACAACATATATTCAGCAGCAGGTGATCGAACCCATACAGATGCCTGTTGTCAAAACGTACGAGTATACTCCGTTTGTGGTCCTCTTTACAGCATCGCTCCATGTTGCGAGCTGCTGCATAATTTTAACTTTTCTGCAATGCCGCGTCCAATACAACAGGCGCCAACTCGAGCAAAAATCTCCTTCTGTTACACGAGGCTCAGGCAGTAATTCTCTGTGGGGTGGTCTATCCCAACAGCGACACATATGCATATGAAGCACGAATTGTGAGGGACCGGAACCCTAAGGATCCGTGGCGAAAAAAAAAAATCTCTGGCCGAAAGGTATTTTAGGAGGGATGCTCCAGTAGCTTGAAGCTATTGTAGGTCGCGCGGCGGGGTATTACGGAGAGGGGCAACTGCTGCCGCCCTTGTTACGTACTGTCAGGTGTTCTTAACGACACCAAGGAAGTGAAGGTGAAGAGTGATGGCGAGATACCTTCTTGGGTACAGGTGGACACTACAGGTACTATGAACTTGTAGGATGCATACCATCCCTTCGAAGGATGTCCGAATTGAGCACCAAAACAATTTCAAGATTCAAGGGGGAGGAAAGGGAGGCTTGGTGTGTGTGGAAGTGGTTTCGTTACATCAGCCACTGCTCGCATGTAGGAAGGGAGGATAGACAGATCTGCAAAGAGGCGAGAGACAGCAGAGAGAGCGATGAAAATCAAAACTATGATACGTATGATAGTAACGAAGCGACCAGACACATGCTAGCAGGAACATCCGAACGACCTGCTCTATCTCGGTTGATCCCTGGGGCAATGACTCGGCGGTGGACTTTGCACCACGCCTACGAGCAAAGCCCAAGGATAAAGTTTTCACCTACTTCCGGTTACCTTGAACAACATTGTTATGTGTTGCTCGAAAATCCGAGACTTCGTCCCTGCTTGTACTTACGAGTACTGCTTGGGGCACATGATACAACCAACGAACGCTCGCTGCCTGTGGGGTGCAGTTGGGAAAGCACACCGCTGTGTCGCAGCGATTTTCTCCCATACTCTGCTGGGTGCATGTCACTGAAAAAAGCGGCAGCTGTGCACACCAAAAAGCGGAGAGATCTGCGCTGCAACGATCTCCCTGCCGTCGACCTCATTCTCTGTCCACTGTTCTCTCTGCGTACGCGCTAACCCGTCATCTGAGCAGGTACTAAGTCAACAAAGCAGGCAGATCGCTCTCTCGTTGCCCAAATGGCATCGCTCAATCCTCTCTTCTTGTCTCACCTTGTGAGGGGAGATCGAGGCCGTGCTCAGCGCCGCGACACGAGCAGCGGGGCGGGACGCGACGGCCGCGGCCGACCGTGCGACGAGGGCCCTACGAGTGGCGTTCATGGCGGAGTTCATCTCGTCTTCTCTATCCTTTCCACCGATATACTGCTCCTGTGCGTCTGCTCTGCTGTGCGCAGCTCTGGGCTGGGCTTGGGGGGACTCCAACAGGAATACTAACCCCCCTCCGAAAAACCATAATTTATACACTCTGCGTGGGCGCTGTACGAGACCTGCTGCTGGCCTCCCTGCTCCCTCATGACATCGCTGATTGCCGCTCTCTCTCTGCTTTCTTTGCCGCAATGTCTGAAGAGAAAGACACGACCGCCCCTCCTGCTGCTTCCTCCGCTGCTCCCTCCACTGGCGAGACTGCCGCCGCCGATTCGTCGGTGGACCTGGCCAAGCAGAATGAGCAAACGGTGGAGCAGCAAAATGCCATCAACGCTACAATAAAGGCAACACAGGTATGCAATAGTCTAGGTTGTCTTGTGTGTCTTTGTTGCGTGTTGGCGTACTCCCTGTTGTACTGCTCCCTTGTGTCTCTGTTGCCGCTGAAAACGGCCAGGTGTTCACCATGTTGTTCCCTACACGTTGCTGTTGGTTTGCAGCTGTGTTGTGCCCCTTGTCTGGATGGCCGTGGTCCACTTTGCTCGGTTCGCTGTTCGCTGCGAATGGGCTATTTATTTCGCTATTTCTCCCCGCACTCACACGAATCTGCACATAGATTTTCTCTACGCGCGGCCACCGTAATCATAACTGCTCTGTACTGCTGTACCCAGCAGGTGCACCAGTTCTTCTCTGTGTGCATGCCCGTGTGTCTGGCATGTTTGCACCATCGTCCACTGCAGTAAACCAGACCTGCGTTGAGTGTCAATACGAAAAACGGGGAACCGTTTTTCCAACAAAACAAATGGTATAGTTCTACTGCCTTTAAATCTATAGTCTAGGGGTCTACTGCACTCCTGCAGCGGGTTCGTCCTCCTTCCACTGCATGCCCACCTTACGAATACGTATTCCCGAATTACTTGTATGTAGTACCATCACGACAGCGCTTGTAGGGCTGTGCAGCGGGTGTAAGCAGCTCGTGCCCATTACATTGCTTAATTGATGTGTCGAAACAGCAGTATTTCGGGGTACAGTCGTCCCCGCTTTAAGGACACCATTTTTGAAGACACTCCCCGCTTTAAGGACACAAAAATCTCAGAAACATGGTGTCCCGCAGATGTAAAAGAGTGTGTGTGTGTGTGTGGGGGGGGTAGGTTTTCCGCCATTCGACCCCCCCTTCCGGAGAATGTGCTGCAGCACCTGGAGATCCTGGATCGTCAACAGCGGTTTGCTGCAGACGTAAACTGCATCTGCTAGCGGTTCGTCTGCTGCCGGCTTGAAGCCATGCGGCGAACCGATGTGCCAGTTCAAATCTGCACTGGTGTCACTGGTTCATCAGTGTCCGTGGCATGATCGTGAGGCGGGTGTAGTTTTTGGTTTCGAGAGCAATGCACTTTTATTGCCAACGTTCGTTGTTTGCATGGGGTGAAGTCTGGTGAGGTTGAATTTGGCGTTTGTGTTGTGTTGTGCCTCGTTTTGACCTTTTGGGAGGCGCGGTGTCCTCTTTGTCGCTGTGCTTTCCCGACATTTTTGGTCTCTGTTTCTGCGTAACCTACATTTTCCTAGTGTCGTTTTGCAACCTTCGATATTTCTCAGGTGCGGTAGCGAGATCTTGGGCAAGATATTCACGGGGAGGACAAATAAAATAAAGCAAATAATTAAACCCATATCAACACCAGCGCACTACCGTCGTGTAGATGTACGATGCGTAGGTCGTAGAACACCATCGCTTTCAGCGTTTTGGTGGTACAGTACGGGGAAATTCAAACGATGGTATGCAAGTATGTATTGCAGCACAATAGCAGCAGTGGTTGCGACCTTCAAATCACCCTGTGTCGTAGGTTTCAAACAACACCTCATGTGGTCGCCTTCTGCTGCGAATGCCCACCTTTTGACACATGTTTCGCCTTCATTGGCCCCGGGGATGGTGCGTTAGTGGCCCCGGAATTTCAAAGACACTTCCCCGCGTGAAAGACACTTTTTTTGTGGGAAACCGTGGTGTGTCTTTAAAGCGGGGTCGACTGCATTATCTCGATCGGATTGTCTAGCGGTGACCGTCTAGTGGAAGCTACAATACTTCGTACGGTTGGGTGGCATGGCGACACGGCAGTCAAAGGCCACTGACTACGGACTGCCCCAAAGCTACACGGACCGAAAACAGAACCCAAAATCACGAACATGATAGATATAATGATACCATGGTACGCATATGGATGGACATGCGAATGCAACATGAATGTGGACACAGGTTGCATAACGTAACATGAGACACCGCACCCCCGAGACCGATTTTCAGAATGCTCGATTGCCCTGCAGCCAAAACGGACGGTGAGCGGTGCCAAAACTGGCCACGTTGGAACCGTATCGAAGGGCTTTGCCAAAACGTACATGTCGTCATGTGTGTTCACCACCCTCCTCGTCGTAGAGTACAGCAGTAGTCGAGCTTTAGCTTTTGACATCGTCCCAGGGGGTGTGGTATCTTACGCAACCTATGCATACATATAGATATATATATACATGCACCTACCCGTGAGAGTCGGAGAGATGGCACCCCCGTGTTGGCGTTTTTTGCAGCGTATTTCACAACAAACAGGGGGGTACCAGTGGCGAAAAGGGTAGTTTTGGAAACATCTCGTCGAGGGCTTTCCTGAGAGGTATCGGTTGGTGTTCGCACCCTCCTACTTGTGGAGAAATAGGCTAAACGAAAACGCTACCACGGCGGTGCCATCTCTCCGACTCTTGCGGTATGCATGTATGTATGCACATGCAGGCGGTTCACACAGCGTTCATGTGTCTTGTTGAAGCCTGCGGTGTCTTTTTGCCGGTGGGCGTCAGTGTCAATTACTTGAAGAAGTTTAGTAAAGACCAGGCGGCAAGGGCCTCAAACACATTCCACGAATCCTGACCGCCGGTGGCGCATCAAGACTTGAACATGTATTCCCCTTGTGGGCGTGTGCTACCCCACCCCCTTCCAAAACATGGAACAGGGACCTCGGAATTATTCTCTGATTAGCCAACCACACAACATAAATAGCAAAAACAGCGTTCCTGGAAACGAAGACGTGCCCCCAGGTCCCTTATTCGGGGTGATTGTTCACTATGATTAGCCAATAAACCATAGGGAACGTGGAACATGGACTATTCGGTGGCAATTAGGACGGAGTGGCGTGTGTATGGTGACTTTGGGCATGTGGCTGCCACAGGTGCTGCATGCTTCCGGTTGTAGGCATTTCCACCATCATCAGGTGTCTCGCATGCGACAAAACGGTTGAGGATGCCCTCTCGTGTAGCCGTTGTACGGGATATGAGAAGATAGAGCGCCAAGAAGACCGCAAGCTGCCGTTGACCGCAACTCAAGAAGCAAACCTTCCTTCCACAGCACTCTGCAGAGTGAAGATTGCAAGACGAGCACTGCCTGCTCGAACTGATCCCTAGCACATGTGACAATGATGTTCGCTCGTCAACAGCTTCCTTCAAAACATACATCACTCCTTCTTCCTGTACCCCCCCACGCGTCTTTCTCCCTAGAAGAAAAACTCGTATTTCCTCCGAGTACCTGCGGGCCGCATGCGCGCGCTGAAATGTTTCGTGTTCCATGCCTGAATGCTGTTGCATGTGGTATGTGGAATGGTCAGGACACGAACGACATGGAACACGGAATTCCGAGTTCCCCGTGGCATTTTTGGTCTTTTTTAGACGGTCGGCGCACGCCCTGAGAAGACTGCTGTCTCGATCTGTTTTGAAGTACTTGGAAGGCCTTCCTGGTGTTGTGCGAGTATTCTATGGATACTGCTGTACACGTTTTGTATTGTAACCACAGCACACAAAAGTGTGCTCTTACGCACACGGCTTGGAAGGAAAGGGGCTGCGTTATCTCTAAGTTTGTTGTGTAGAAACCCGATGGATAGAAAGAAACGAGTTGTTCGGCATATTTTTGTTTTCTCTCGTGACAAACTCTTGCGGGTGGGCACGTGGTTGTTAGTTGTTATTTCCGTCTTGACGTTTTCCGTGCGCGTGCGCAGGACGCTGTTAACATCCGCACGGGTCCAACTGACGCGGACGCCTTCCATGGATGGTAGCGGGCTAGCTACCCGAAGAGGATGCACATCGTTTGGTGGTGTGAAATCGTGTCACATTCTGTGTCTTGTCTTTGGCGTGACACGTGCCGTCTTACGGAGCACCGCCCCTGACTCTTGAATCGCGAACGGTTCGTGTGGACTGTTTCGTCTTCTAAATCGCCCGCCGCCCCCGCGTGACCTTGCTCGTTGTCTACGCGTAGCCCAAGGTAGGAGCAAAAGAAGAGGTGGATGCCCTGCTGCCGGAGTACGAGGGGAACCCAAAGCCGGGATTCCGCAAGGGGGTCCAAGACTTGGGCAAGGTGTGGTGTGCGGCGTGGTCGATACTTGCTTATTGAAGCCTTCACCGCCGCGGCGGTCTGGTGTTTTCCCCCCCTCGTACGCGTACTTAGCAGCAGGTTGTGAGAGCGAATTCTCTCTCTGGAGTGAAAGGAAGTACAGTTTGTTGTGTAAAGCGAGTACGTCGTGATCCCGATCGACAAGGGAGAGGGAAGGCTGAAGTCTTCTCGCGATAGACGGTAAGGCAAGTAGCGCAGGAGGGAGGATGGGGTGTTGTATCAAGCTAATAGAGCAAGAAATGCTCCTCCTGTGTGACCTTTCAGGACCCCGGTTGATCCGTCAAGCACAATGCCTCCAAGAGTTGTGTCGGCTGGCTCCAGACAAACACACACGCACCTAGACACCTTATCACGAGGTTCTTCCTTCGTTCATCCGTATCTCCACTTAACACGGAACGGCATTCGACAACACCAACCCCAACATCGATGGCCTTGCTACGCGACGCCAGCGCTACTCTGCGCTTCGACGTGTGCGGGGCGATGGTAACTGTTTCTACCGCTCCTTCCTGTTCGGGTACCTTGAGCGGCTACTGCAGGGCATCAAGGGCGTCGGCGACGCCAATACAAAGGCTATGTTGGAGCTCAGCAGGCTTAGACAAGTGGTGCACGACAGGTGTGGGCAGAAGACGACAATGTTTTTTGCGGACCCCACTGCTGTTGTTGCTACTGTTGTTCCCGCTTCTGCTGCTGCTGCTGCTGCTGCTGCTGCTGCTGGTGATGATCATGATGAGGTTGTTGTTGTTTTTTCGTTCGTTGATTACATTGACCTTCTCGGTGCATCCTGAACGCCACTCCCGTGAAATATCTATCTGCAGGCTTGGCTCTTGCAGCAGTGCGCTCGGTGCTCGCGGCAGCAGTCTCGTGTGGTTTGTACTTGTAGCATGCAAGCAAGTTGGCTAGTAAACTTCCATCAGATACATACTCCATCCGAACTAATGTCGAGGCAACATGACGTGGAAGAGAATTCTGGTGAGCAAAGGTCTTATCGAAGAGCGTCGACCGACAGACGACATAGTGCCGCCAACTTTTAGCACTGTTCTCCTCGATTTGCTTTGTCGACCTTCCACCAGTCCCCTCTTGTTTGGTTTTGTTTGGTTTCGTTTGCTATTGTATCTGGTGCAGTTCTTCCATGTATGATATCGGTGTTGAATGGCGTTCGCCTATATTGTTTGGTTATATTTGGTTCCATTTGTTTGTGGTGTTCCGATGCAATTTTTCTGTGTATGATGGTGTTGTTTGCGCTTTTTCAGCAAGGCGGCGTTGATAGCCCTGGGTTACGAAGAGGTGGCTCTGGATGACTTCTGGCAGACGTTCCTGCAGGAGCTAGACGCTCTGCCTAACATGGAGATGGGCCAGCTTGAGGTGCGTTATCACAGTCAGTCATCCGAAACACTCTTGTGGAACTTTATGATTATTTTTCTGTTTATTACCTGTGGTGGGGTTTAGAGCTTGTTCACCTATTTCCTATGCATACTATCCTTGGTTTTGGTGAGAGACGACGAAACGGCTTTTGCTGCAGAAAGGCACGACCCCGACTATAGTGCTATGTTCCTTGCTTTGTTTGGCGCGAGGTTTCGCACAATGTTGGCGGTTTTTTCCAGTGGGAGGTAACCAACAGCGACATCCATAGTGTGGGGATTGGCGAGGGTTTCTTGTCCTCGCACCACGTGTTTACAGTACTTGAGACCACGTTTGTAGGTGCGCAGGTCGTCGGGTGAGGCCGGTTAGGAAGTTTCCGTTTGTGTGTATCGTTCGACGAAACGGTTGAGCTCCCCAAGAATAAGCACACAAGGATTGCTGTCGTTGGAACATGAGCATCGCGACTTTTAGCCTTCCTGCACACCCCTGTCCACCACAGATCCTTTCTCTCCCCCCCC